GTATTGAGAGGTGTTAAAATTGAGCCAATGAGGAGAAGCCAAGCTGTCAGCCTCCATACCCACCCAGCCCCACCTTGGGTAGTGTGCTCTCTCCTCTTATAGCACATGCTATATGGTGTGGACTGATCATGTAGGAATTTTAATAATCCTTCAGAGTTTTGGCTTAGATGGGAGAGGCAGGTCCCTGATTTCTCAGGAGAAAGGTTTTTCGCCAAGTAAAGTAAATTTTAACATTAGAACTCTGCCCTATACTCTGTTTCCCCATCCAAAAAGAGAATGATATATATGGATCGTGGATTTGGATTATAAGATAATAATATATGCTTATCAGAGAATACTTATCGCAAAAATGCTAGAAAGCCAACTTTCTGCTGAACAATATTCTGGTCTTTTTTTTTTTTTTAAGATTATTTATTTATTTGAGGCAGGAGGGAAGGAGCGAGGGAGGGAGGGGCAGGCAGAGAGGGAGAAGCAGACTCCCCGCTGAGCAGAGAGCCCAAGCCACCCGGGCTCCATCCCAGGATCCTGGGGTCATGACCTGAGCCGAAGGCAGCCGAAGGCAGCCAAAGGCAGACACTTAACCAGCTGAGCCACCCAGGCAGCCCCAACAATATTCTGGTCTTATTCATAGGGATGAATCCCATTTCCCTTGAACATTGACTGGCTGACATTACCAAGCCCATTGTGGCCATGCTGAGTTGGCCTTCTTGTCTCTCTCTCTCCCGCACTCCCTTCTCCTTCCCCTGCCCTCTGCTCCTCTTCCTCCTCCTTCTGTACTAATAGGAGAGAAAGCTTGATTATGAAGTGAACAGGTACAATGCTGTTGACTCTTCAGTCTCATGGACTTCTCCAGTAGAGAGTTTCTCATTGGGCACCTGGGTGACTCAGTCGTTAAGCGTCTGCCTTCGGCTCGGGTCGTGATCCCAGAGTCCTGGGATCAAGCCCCGAATCGAGCTCCCTGCTTAGTGGGAAAGCCTGCTTCTCCCTCTCCCACTCTCCCTGCTTGTGTTCCTGCTTTCGCTGTCTTGTCTCTCTCTGTCAAATAAATCAATAAAATCTTTCAAAAAAAAAAGTTTCTCATTGGCAGAGACTTGAACCAAGTGGTCCAGCCTTAGCAGATCATGTCACTCTGTTCTTCATTGGATTTCTGGACCACCTGGGTGTTAACAGCAACATTGGTAAAACTCTAGGTATTTTTCTCTTCCCTTCCATTCTTCTGTGGTAGGTTGGAGCTCTGATTTGTGCCCCAGGAGCAAAACTTCAGGCAAGGAAGAGAGTAATAAGTCTTAGGTCTTTGTTCTTCTCCTCCTCCTGTGTTACTTGGTCTAATTATCATTATATTTTTTTAAAGATTTTATTTAGAGAGAGAGCATGTGCATGTGTGCACGTAAGCAGGGGGAGGGTCATAGGGAGAGAGAATCCCAAGCAGACTCTGTGCTGAGCGGGGAGCCCCATGCAGGGCTCTGTCTCACAACCCTGAGATCATGGCTGACATCAAGAGTTGGAGGTATATGGGACACCAGGGTGGCTCAGTCGGTTAAGCGTCTGCCTTTGGCTCAGGTCATGACCCAGGGTCCTGGGATCGAGCCCCACATCGGGCTCCCTGCTCAGCGGGGAGCTTGCTTCTCCCTCTGCCTGTTCTGCCTGCTGCTCCCCTGCTTGTGCGTGCTCTGACAAATAAATAAAATCTTAAAAAAAAAAAAAGAGTTGAGGCTTAATCCACTGAACCACCCAGGTGCCCTTCTTCATCATCATCATTATTTAGATCCCATTATCATTCTAACTGCTTCAGCTATAAGTGTCCTTGGGATTAATCCCAGTTTTGCAGTTGCTGATAGCTAAGCAATTGGCACCAAAATTCCACTGAGTGAAGTCCTCTCACCCTGGTTCTGGGTACTTTGCAAGAGCGTAGCAGCCCTAGAGCTACATGTTTGTGGGATAAAACTAGGAAAGGTAGCAAAATAGAGCTTTTCAGGGAGGTATCTGTGCCTTGAAATCACTTACCTGCCTCTTTTTTCTCCATTGTTTAACTTTGTCTAGTGACTGCTTATGTATAGAGGAGGTTATTTTCTAGGTAAGACTGTCAGACTAGGACTGGATGTTGGCCCTTCTTGGTTCTGCCAGATCCCTTCCAAACCTTTTCCTCTGTGGTAAAAAAGGAAGGGATAGGCCAAACACTGACCAAGGAGTCCAGCATCAGTCTTTGTCTTCTCAACTGAAAGCATACTGATTTTCTCAGTGAGAATCAGTGATTCTGTAGTTGCATGTGTGCACTTGCAGGAGGGTGTGGTATTGGTGGGGCCGCTCAGGGGTTTGGGAGGAGCCAAGTAATTTGAGATGCTAATTAAAATTCCTTGAGGGTCTAGGTAATTGAACATTAAGCCTTGCTGTGAGCCCAACTTTACTCTTGCTTTAGAAATCACATAGAAAAAATATATTTGTATAGCACGTTATGGTCCATTTGATTTAGCTTATCACATCTAATCTTTACATAAGACTTTTTTTTTAAAGATTTTGTTTATTTGAGAAAGAGTGAGAGAGAGCACAAGTATAGGGGAGGAGCAGAGGAAGAGGGAGAAGCAGACTCCCTGCTGAGCAGGGAGCTTGATGAGGGCTCAATCCCAGGATGCTGGGATCACAACCAGAGCCAAAGGCAGACGCTTAACAGACTGAGCTACCCAGGCACCCGCAAAACTTTTTTAATGATGTAGGCTCTCCACAATGTGGAGCTTGAACCGACAATCCTAAGATCAAGACTTGAGCTGAGATCAAGAATCAGATGCTTAACTGACCCAGCCACCCAGGGGCCCCTACATAAGCCTTTTTTTTTTTTTTTTTTTAAGATTTTACTTATTTGAGAGAGAGAGCACCAGCATGGGGGGATGGGTGGGGGGAGAAGGAGAAGCACACTTCCTGATGAGCAGGGAGCCTGATGCCGGACTCCATTCCAGGACCCTGGGATCATGACCTGAGCCAAAGGTAGGCACTTAACAACTGAGCCACTCAGGTGCCCCTGTAAGGCTTCTAATATAGGTTCATTTTTTAGTTAAGCATAGAGAACAATTTGCCTGATCTAACAGATTTGAACCCAGGTCTTCTGATTTTTTAAATAGCTCAGCATGTTGACTCCTGGCTAAAAGGTTGTTAAGACATAAAAGGTTAGACCTTGGGGCGCCTGGGTGGCTCAGTCGGTTAAGCGTCTGCCTTCAGCTCAAGTCAACATTCCAGGGTCCTGGGATAAAGCCTCATATTGGGCTCTCCGCTCATTGGGGAGCCTGCTTTTCCTCTGCCTGCTGCTCTGCCTAGTTGTGCTTGCTCGCTCTATCAAATAAATAAATAAATAAATCTTAAAAAAAAAAATAAAAGCTGAGACCTTTTTTCCTTTGTTGATGGACACCTTAAATTTTATAGTAAGTCAGTAGCCGTTTTAGTCATAAATCTGGGTTATCCTGGCTATTGTTCCTTGGAATCTTTAGCTTGGGATTCCAGTACTAATTTACCTCGTTTTTTACCCAGCTGAAGTTGATCTAATTGAAGATGAAGCATCTATAAAGGGTGTAGATTATTGGGCTTTTCTGGTTTTCCAATTTTCTGGGTCATTTTATGCAGCAGATCTTCCTAACAGCTAGATGACATTTCCATTGCCTCCTATTTTGGGAAGAGGAATGAAAACCATCTGTTCCCCATTTTTTGCTACCCTGACTCACTATAGGGAAGGAAATTTTGCTGCTCTGCTTACTGGTAACAGAAATATTTGGTCTGTGGCCTCTCTACAACTAAGGGCTATTATCACAACCTTTCCTCTGAGCCCAGCTATATTCTGAAATTCTCAGGGCCCTTGATTATTTGTCTTAAGCAATCATAATTAGAGCTTCACCTTATTGCCCTTAATCCCATGTGTTGCTGTTGCTGCCTCATCATTAATCCAGCGTATACATACACTGAAACTGGGATCTTTCTGCTAGGGTATTATTGGAGATCCATCCCATTAGGCTCCTCTTTTTAATTTTCTTTAATATGGCTAATCTTTATTCTCTTTGAATTCGTTAGAATTAGATTGAAGGTATGTATCATAGTCTTTGAAGATAAAAGTCAACATTTTCCAATATGAAGGGTGGGGAGACAGGGACAGTCTGTCTTCCTGAGTGGTCATGTGTCTCCAATGTGATCATTGATGAAGGTTATGGGGATGGCAAACCCTTGAGAATTGATTTAACCTTTCAGAGTAGATTTTCTACAGATATATTACTTTAGTCACTTTGTAAACATATTTATCTTTCCTAAATTTAAATGGATAAAAGCCATAATACTTATGAGATTGAATCACATACTTATCTTACACATCTGCACTGATTGAATATTTGGTAAGTAAAACTCACTTTAGTAAGTAAGTAAATGCCAACAAATTCCTGTTGAGTTTACAACAGAAATCAAGATGAGGAGGTAGGGATGCAGAATCTTCATTATTTTGACATTGTATTTTCTCATCCTTAGGTGCTTTATCTCCATAGATCAACTCTTTACCTTTTTCTGAAATAATTCATAGAGGAGTAAAGCACCATAGAAAAGCTCTGAAAGTTCTTACCTTTTTAACTGTACAGGAAAAATTATTAAGTCCTAGACTCTCCAATGAGTCCTGGTTATTTCTTATGCCCTTTCTCTTTCAGCCATGGTATCAAATGAGACCCTCTTGACTCTGATGGTTAAATGTATCAAGAACAGATATATTTCCTGGAAAAAAATATGAAGAATGGAGTAAGAAAAGGGACTAGAACAGGAATGGAATATGCATAAGGGTTCTGTGAATATGGAGGGAGAAGAGGAAGGGATATTTAAAATCCCCATCCAAAAGGATTTAGTATCACAGAGCAAGAGGCAGGAGCTCATTGTCAGGTTTAGTTGGACTCAAACCCCAATTGTTTCAGTGTGCTTGATAGAAATTGTGGGCACTAGTGTGTGTGTGTACACTTCTGATTGTATTTTGTTTATTCTTTTAACAGCATCAGGAATCAAGAGATCCATGGCGTCTGAGGTGAGTTTGATACTGATACCATATTTCTGAAACTTTAATTCTGGGATAGAAGGATACCTGTTTATGACATCTTTATTTTCCCCCCACTTGGATCTTGGAAGCTAGGCGGGATTCTTATATCTCTTTGGTAAGCTAGAGATTATACATCTGCTTTTTTTTTGTTTTTAATATTTATTTGTCAGAGAGAGAGAGCACAAGCAGGGGGAGCGGCAGGCAGAGGGAGAAGCAGGCTCCCTGCTGAGCAAGGAGCCCGATGCAGGATTTGGATCCCAGGACCCTGGGATCATGACCTGAGCCAAAGGCAGACGCTTAACCGACTGAGCCACCCAGGTGTCCCTATACAACTACTTTTGTTATAGTTTATTATAGATATTAATTAATAGCTTTGATTATTATAATAAGTCAATAGTAATTGATTGAACATTTTTTTAATGTATCAAATGTAGTGTACCAAAGAGTAATAATTTAAGTATCCTTTATTCTTATTTAATCTCGTAAACACTCCTGTGAGCTAAGTACCATTGCTATCCATGTTTTACAGATAAGTAGAGTGAGGATTAGAGGCTCTGTAACTTGCCCAAGGTCACACAATTAATAAGGCTGGGATTAAAACCCACACAATTTGGCACTAAAGCCCCTTCTTTGGATTTGCTGTTACTGCCTCCTGGTTGCATAGCTTCGGTGAATTTGAAGAACTTCTTTTAACCAAACAGATGTTAGTTTCCTAAGTTTTTCTTTTCTGTGCAGAATATCTTCCATTTGCTTACCTTTATTCTTATTCAGTATTTCCCAAACTTCTTCTTATTTCTTGCCTCTCTCCTGGGTTTTGTGACAGAATTTCAGAATGCAGGCCCTCTTCGGCCTGGGATTTTAGGTTTTTCTCTTAGAACCTCTTCCAAGATCTTTGAGATGATATATTGAGGGTTTTCTGACATTAAGGGCCTTAGCAAGAAGAGTAGAACTTGAATATCAGGCCCTAGGATCATGCACTCTATTTACACTGGCCTTTTTGCCTCTGGCTTATTAACTTAATGAGTATTGACATCATGAAGAATACCTTTGCGTCTTTTGTGCTTCGTCTTGATGTGGGGAATAGCCTTCTAAGCTCCACTCTACCGGTATTACTCCTTCCTTATTTCAGGGGCAATCCTGTGGGTGGAAAACAAAGTCATATCATGTTCCCAGGAATCTCTTCAAGACACCGAGAGCTTCTATCTCAGAGGAGTCATCTTATTGCCTCAGCTTTTTAATTCCCAGGCTTGCAGTACTTGTATTTGTGAGCGGCTAGATCATTTTTACTGGTGAATGCACTTGGAGCAGGTAGTGTTCATGTCAGGTTGAAGGTTAGACACGTAGAAGTTTCTGAAGAAAGCTGGTGAAAAAAGTAGGCTGTTTCATAGTTCTCTTGTTTCTACTTTTCCTTAATGTAACTCATTTTTTTATGTCCTTTTTTTTTTTTAGGATCAAAGGTGAAATATGTGTCCCTTGGAATTTTCTGTGTTCTTTTAGCCAATTAATTCATTGGGAAACAACACTAAAGCTGTGTGGGTGTTGTGAAGATTTTATAAAATGTTCTTAACCTAGAACGGGTGGGTTGAGTGTTCAGTTTGTTTTAAGGTACCATCACGGTAGCTGTATGGTGTTTTACATGGGGATCATGTGCTAATTTTGACTCTTCTTTTTCCAGGTGCCTTATGCCTCTGGCATGCCCATCAAGAAAATAGGCCACCGAGGTGTTGATTCCTCAGGAGAGACGACGTATAAAAAGGTGTGTCTGGGTGGAACCCTTTCATTTTACTCCGGGAGGGGATAGTTCTGTCCCCTTGGTTGGTATTATTCTCCACATTGTGTCTCATTTCTTGATATCCTAAGCCTTTGCACAAAAACTATCATAAAACTTGAACTTTAGAGTTTACTTTCAGTTCTGGACCACTTTGGGAGGTGCTCAGGCTTCCCAAGGGACAGTGTTCAACCTTTCCATTGAGCGTCTATACCTTGTTTGATACAGGGTGTGAAGATTTCTTGGATTCCTGTTTCTGGCCCACATAAATTCTTCTTATGTGTGTTCTTTGCCTTTTTTGCGCTGTCGGGGACCTGACCCTCTCTGGGAATGGGCTCAAGGCTCTTGTCAATTCAATAGATATTTATTGAGCTCTATTTATGTACTGAACATTGAGACAAAAAGATGAGTTTCTAAGCTAATTGGAGAGGCATACACTTCAAAATCTAGTTTTATATATATATAATTGGGGGGGGTAATCTCTAGCAGGGCACCTGGCTGGCTCAGTCAGGAGAGCATGTGACTCTTGATCTCGAGGTGGTGAGTTTGAGCCCCACATTGGGCATGGAGCCTACTTAAATAAAATAATTTCTGCCCCTAATATGGGGCTCACATTCATGACCCTGAGATCAAGAGTCACATGCTTTACTGACTGAGCCAGCCAGGCACCCCTCTAGTTATCATTTTAGTGCCTAATGAGGACTGAGTAGAAATATAAGTAATTTAATACTTGGTGAGAGTTGGGGATGAGGGAAATCATTAGAACAGAACTGACCAGTAGAACTTTCTACAGTGATTGAAATGTGCTATAATCTGTGTTCTCCAATAGTAGCTACTAGTCATACTTGAATGTGGCTGGTAAGACTGAAAAGGAAGATTTTCAATTTTTATTTTAATGAACTTAAATAGCCATCTGTGGCCAGTGGTTAGTGTATTGCACAGCACAGATCTAGATGAAAGGCTATTTTCCCATATGATTGTAAGAGTGAGGCTTTTGAATTTGTGTTTTAACCATAGTGTAATAATTTTAAATCTAAACACTTCTCTCAGAAATAATTTGAGTCTTTCAGGCTTTCTTCTTCAATTAGGAACTTTTTTTTGCCACCCTGTCGTCCTTGGGAGGATCAGGCTTTCCCTTAAAGGACTGAAGCTTCTGTAGCCAGGTAGTCCATCAGAATATCAGTAAATTTTAGTTACATTCTCTATTTCTTGAATAAAATGTTTGGAGAGACCCAGATACTCTGCACGCAGGAATCTTTGGAATGAGACTTAAGATTGTTCTCTCAGTACAACATATCTTGCAAATGTTGATATGGAGAGTGGCTTCCAACTGTAGATATGGAGAGGCAGGAACACCTTGCCTAGCTGAGGCTGACTCAGACAGTCCTGCCTTTGCTACTGTGTATCTTCATCCCCTTCCAGCCTTCACCAGTCTTGACTGCCATGTAAGGCAAGAGGATGGAGGAGTTGGATCGCCCTGGCTTGGTCTGAAGTACTAGAAGGGCGTTTGCTTTTGAGTGCTGCTTCTGGCTTTTCCCTCCTGAGTTTTTATTGTTCTGATCAGATATAATACTAGAAACTTTCCTCTCGTTTCTCTTCTATTTCTTAGACAACCTCATCTGCCTTGAAAGGTGCCATCCAGTTAGGAATTACTCACACTGTGGGAAGCCTGAGTACCAAACCAGAGCGTGATGTCCTCATGCAAGACTTCTATGTGGTGGAAAGTATCTTCTTCCCCAGGTACAGAGGTTAATGTTCAGGGGAATGTCCTGGGAAGTGTGGCTTTTTCATATCAACCTCAGGCCAGTTTTAGGGGTTCAGGTCTAATTTAGGCATGTGCCCAATGTCCAGTCCTTAACTTGATCTTGGGGTGATGTGGGAATAGAGAATTCGGAGAGCAGATGCTGTCCTTTGAATGCTTCCACGAGCCTCTGGCCTGTGGAGTGAGCCCTAAAAAGCAATTCAGTGCACTGGGTAGCCATTTTTTTAATCCCCATGTAGTGGCTTTGTCCCACGAAGTAACTGACTCATCTAATCCCTCTGGTTCTCTCAGAAGGGATGTACTGACCTGCCTTTGGGTTACTCTGAGTGTCTGCCCAGCGTGGACTCCCTGGGTGACAGGTACTGATAAATTACAGCTTTTTCTATTTTAACCCCACAGTGAAGGGAGCAACTTGACCCCTGCTCATCACTACAATGACTTTCGATTCAAGACCTATGCACCTGTTGCCTTCCGTTACTTTCGGGAGTTATTTGGTATCCGGCCTGATGATTACTTGGTAAGCTTCTGGTTCCTCCAGTATCAGAGGGATCCTCCCAAAAGAAGACTCTCTCCACAGTCTTGCTCTAGTTTTCCTTTAGAACAGAATTGCATCTGTACTTAATTTCTGGTTGGACAGGCCCTGGTATTTCTGAAACTTCTTGTTCTCTTCTTTCTGGGCCCCAGTATTCCCTCTGCAGTGAGCCACTGATTGAACTCTGCAACTCTGGGGCTAGCGGTTCCCTCTTCTACGTGTCCAGCGACGATGAATTCATCATTAAAACGGTCCAGCACAAAGAGGCAGAGTTTCTGCAGAAGCTGCTTCCAGGATACTACATGGTGAGGGAAGAGGAGCACTGGTCACCTCTGCTGCCCACTCCCACTCCTGGACAAGGCTGGGGGGCTCTCATGGGGCGCCTGGGTGGCTCAGTCAGTTAAGCGTCTGCCTTCGGCTCAGATCATGGTCTCGGAGGTCCTGGGATCGAGTCCTGCGTCAGGCTCCCTGCTCAGCGCGGAACCTGCTTCTCCCTCTCCCCATCCCCAGCTTGTGCTCTCTCTCGCTATCCATCTCAAATGAATAAAATCTTTAAAAAAGAAAAAAGAGGCTGGGGGGCTCTCTTCTGCAGGGCAACACAATGTCAGCACTTAGGTCTTAAAGATGTAGTTCATTTTGGGGCTTTTTGCCCCATCTCTCTTGCCTCTCTGGGGCTAAAAGGGGTTTTGGTTATCTGTCCTTTTTTTTTAGGATTTTATTTATTTGAGAGAGCGAGAGCGAGCATAAGCGGGGTGGGGGGAGTAGGGGCAGAGGGAGAGGGAGAAGCGCACTCCCTGCTGAGCAGGGAACCCCACGCGGGACTTGATCCCAGGACCCTGGGATCATAACCTGAGCTGAAGACAGACGCTTAGCTGACTGAGCCACTCAGGCGCCGCATCTGTCCTTTTTTTTTTTTTTTTTTAAGATTTTATTTATTTATTTGACAGAGACATAGCGAGAGAGGGAACATAAGCAGG